GACAATATCTTGATCATTCAAGAAGAGCAATTGTATAAGAATAAAATATTCAAGTATTTTCATCTAGAATGGTCTAAGACTGGTAGCATGCATCGTGCACGACGGGATCATACAGCAGCCGTATTAATAAATGGAAAAGTATTAGTTGCTGGTGGATTTAACAATGGTGCAATCAACAATGCTGAACTGTATGATCTATCAACAGAAACATGGACAACTATTAACAGCATGAATGATGCGCGAGGTGAGCATACAATATCCGTACTGACGAATGGAAAAGTGCTAGTGACCGGTGGACTTGGTTATCGGGGTTTTCAGAATAGTACCGAGTTATATGATCAATCAACAGGCAATTGGACGATTACTGCTTCCATGAATATTGAACGAGTTGAACACATCGCATCCACATTAACAAATGGAAAAGTGTTAGTTACCGGTGGTTATGGTGGTGGCCGTTGGTTGAATAGTGTTGAACTATACGATCCATCAACAGAGACTTGGACAACCACTGGCAGCATGAACACTACACGAAGCCAACACACATCATCCGTTCTAAGGGATGGAAAAGTATTAGTCACCGGTGGACACATTGTTGGTGATGCTCTAAACAGTGTTGAATTGTATGATCCATTAACAGAAACATGGACAACTACTGATAGCATGAAACATGCACGACACGAACATGCAGCATCTGTATTACCTAATGGAAAAGTGTTAGTGACTGGTGGATTTGACAATATGGCACTAAATACTGCGGAGTTATATGACCCATCAACAGGAATGTGGACATTCACTGCTAGTATGAATCATATGCGTTGGAAACACACAGCAACCGTATTAGCAAATGGAAAGGTGTTAGTTATCGGTGGATTTGATAGCAATGCTATTAGTACTGCTGAAACGTATGACCCATTAACAGAAACATGGACACCAGTTGGTAGCATGAATGATGCACGAGGTGAACACACAGCATCTATATTAACAAATGGAAAGATTTTAGTTACTGGTGGAACTTTTGTTGGCACGGTTTTGAGCAGTGCCGAATTGTATTCATCATTGGAAACAGATTAGATCTATTAACGCATGTAAAACAGGGTCCACAGCATAATCGAAGATCTTTCGATTATTATAATTTTAATGGTCACAAATTTATTAAAGGACGAGAGTGGATATGTCAGCAAAATTGATTTTATTTAGAAACTTTTATTAATAAATGTTTCACTTTTTAAATATCGTTAAACAGAGATAACTCATTTTCTCTCACACGTTGATTCCTATACGGGTGTGGGTGTGACTGTGAGTATGGGATGTCAGACTGTGGTTGGCTGTGGATATAAATGTGATAGAGATGTTGATAGGTACGGGCTTCTTTTACATTTATATCAACACACATTCTAGAATAAAACTTTATCTTAAAATCAACTTTATTACTGAAGTCAACTTTTTGAAAAATTAAAACTTTGACCCTCATCCGTAATTGTCAGTATGCTTTGAAAGTATAATGCAAGTTTATATTTCTAAATGATACTTTCAAATTTTGGTAACAATAGTACATAACTTTTAACAAACTGACTTATCGAATTTTACTTTACGTACTTTGATATAGACTCATTTCTCGCACTTTTTTAGTATTTTGCTTTATTGAAAAGATTAATACTCTGAGGCATATTAAGACACCATCGATGCTTCATTCTACATTTGGAAGTAAGAAGTTTCACCTACACTGCTATTATAGAAGATTAAAATCGTTACGAAGAGAAAGAAAAGGAAGAAAATTCCCTTTTACCTAGAGAAAAGAAACGTATATTTGTAACACGGTATACAAGGAGAAAGACGTATAGATATCACAGGATACAACAATAAGGCAGAACAACAAATGTAGAGAAGAAGCACATTGATCGTATGAAGAAATCATCATTAGAACTCCTACGAGATAGTATGATGAATTTGATGAAAGGAAGAGAAGTGGAAGGCCAGTACTTGATATAGTGTTGCTCGAAATGATTTTTTTAATGATTTCAGACAGATTTCTTGCATTTGATTCCTATTTCTTGATTAATTTTTATTGTGTTACTTTAATGCTATATTTCACAAGTATCATCGCTGAAAATTTTTAGGTTAGCTTTCAATCAATATTGGCACTGTGACTCAGTGACTAATTTTTTTCGATTTCTACTTTAAGGTACTACGGTACATTCTCGTTGCCACCAGACATAGAATGCTCTTGGACAAGTTACAGTCATTCGCATCCTATATTGGTTGTTGGAAATAGAAGAAATATTTTTCTAAGAAAGAACTATATTAAAACACAAATACTTATTCTTCTGAATTTTTGAATCTATGATAATTATAATTCTTGAAAAGGTCTATTGAACATGATCAGTGTGTTATTTGTTATGATGAAAATTTAGATTTGACATTTTCTCAAAGCAGTTCATCGAAACATAAATCCTCACTTAGCTCTTAGACATATCTTTGATATGATATCATGATGATTATGCCAATATTTATAAAAAAAGCTCATATCTAGAGATATTCTTCAGTCTTTTATTTCAATAAGAACGAACGCATGGCTAGAAATCTAGTCAAATATATTCAACTTAACTAAAAATAATAGTAGGTTATCCTAAATTTCAACTCCATCACTTACATGTTAATTCAAAAAACCTTCGGAGAGTTAATGAAACACTAGATAGCACCACTCTATTGCTAATTATGCTGTTGAATAGATCTCAAAATAGTATGTAATTGAGTCCTTTCACTGTTCTTCATTGTATGTTAAATATTGCAAAACATAATTATAGAGGATGCACTTTATTACCTATTTACATAATCAAGGGCAATACTGTAAAGAGAGAGTTTTAGCTTGTGCGTCATTCTCTACGATGGGATAATTTTCTTTTCTTTTGGTCAGTGAATAAACTATTTTTAAGAAGAGAATACGTGTGTGGCATCGAAGAATGTCATTTGTACTTGATTATAACTCGATCTACAATCGTCTTACAACTATCATTATACCAATTCAAATTTTACTTGGAGTCATAACAAATATATTTAATATACTTGTCCTTTCACGGCGGTCCTTCTTGCAAACATCACCATGCACTCACTATTTTCTTGCAAAAGCCGTGACTTCTCTCCTTTCTGTGATTATTGGACCGGTACATCAATTTGCTGAGAAGTATTTCATGTTCAGACCATCTAGTACTATTGTCGGCTGCAAGTTATTACCCTATCTTCTTACATTGATATCATTTTATGTAAGTATGTTTTTCATATTTGCTACATATGATTGTTTTTGTATATCATCTACATTGGTTTACATGCGTAGTTGGAGTTCTCGGAGAGCTATCATCATCATGGCAATCATACTTCCTATCATACTAAGTCGAACGCTGATCATTTGGTATATCAACGATGATTATGGTGGCATTTGTTTGTCATATACGGATATTGTCCCTACAGTCATGATTATAGTTCAGGCCATTATCGTAGATTGTTTTCCGCCATTGATTATGACCATTTTCGATCTATTCACAATCCTAAATGTGCATTCTCAGAGAAATTGAGTAGTATCTGTAATTGGCAGTGTCAGAAGATAGCGTCGTACCGAAATTCAACTAATACGAATGTTATTATGGCAAGTACTTAATTATCTCACTTTTTCTTGCCGATTGGTATTACGTACACATGGCTGTAGTCAAATCTACCATGAAAACGGCTTTTTTCGGTTTTATCATTAACACATGTCCATTATGGCTTCAATTTTTCTATATTACGCCCTTCTTCTTGTACATTCTGACGGCAAGTATATACAGATGTGTATCGATACGTATATGATATATTGTCGCATGAATCTCTTTCGCAGAAATCAAACGTTAATAAGCACTGTTACTGTGGTTTCTCCTGGTAGAAATCGTACAATTATCCAATAGTTGATTTTCCCCAAGAATAACTTTTTCTTTATCGTCATATAATAAATCTTGCAATTATGTAAGGCATTATTGTTTTGTGTCGTATTTCATTTAATAAATACATTTGAATGCAATTAGATGTTTCTATTTTACTGATCGACACTGAACGTGAACATATTGAATATCTTTTAATATGGATAAGTTCTTCACATGTCATCTAAACTTAGTTCTAGATTTCTTCTATTTTTGTATAGCAAATCAACCAATGACAAGAGTTTAGTCGTTTTGAAAAACCAGACTAACTGCTCAGTCTTATTTGATTATTTTACTGGACGCTATCGACACTAACATCCCATGTATGCAAGAGGATAGGTGTGCGTGTGGTGGTACGTCTCCATGTCGGTGTTAATAGGAATGCCCACGAGAATCTCGGTGTGCGTGCCGCGTCATGCTACTCTTCCTCATCCCAACCGGATCAAACTCTTAATGACACACCCATAACCATATTTAGATCCACTCACACCTTCAACACACCCACATAATATATTGAAATATTCACACCGTACTCTCACGCCGACAACCAGACGAGCATCCACATGAACACTCATACTCACAAGCACATCAACAACTCTACCAACGCCTAAATCTTACACATACGCCGCACTCCTTTGTTAATAGCCGCACGCCAGTATTGCAAACGGCAACGGTAAACGACCAGTCCAGCCTGATCTGGTCCGGTAGAAAATTTCTTATTGACCGGAATATATTTTTCGAGTTTTTTCATGTTTGTTTTCTCAAAAAATTAATTATAGAGGTGTTTCTTTTAGCAGGTCAAACCAATTTTACTGGTGTCAACGGCTATTTCTATTAAGTGATTTAAGGGTGTGAGTGTGAGACTTCTCTTCACCCACACTAACACCCTTTAGAATTCCTTTCAGTACAATTTTCTGTTATCAGACAATGAAATGATTTTATTTTATACGGAAGATCAGTAAGCTTTGCATGGTTATCAAAAATCAGAAAAAGCTTAAAGTAGAATCTGGTTTATATCTTAAACTGCAAAAAAGTTTACAAATTCAAAACAGGTTACTCTTGACTATTGATTTAATATTTGATATAAATTAAGTATTAGGTCATACTTGAGGTATCTGTAGTTGGTCGTTAGATCGCAACTGTATTCTTCTCTTAGCTTCTTCCTTGATCATTGCTTGTTGAATATGTGTTGGTAGACCTGGATTGAGACTCAAGGCGTAGGGTAATAATGTTTTAGGTATTTCTTCGAAATCAACCATAATTTTGATGAACATTGTGTCATCTCGTACATACGGATTTCCTTCCTGTTGAATTGCTTCCAACGGGATAAATTTTGGTATACCACTGGCTATATTCATATCCGATCGCGGTCGCTGAAAACTACTCGATTTAACGTCTGGTCGAAATGAATCAATAATATGTCGTTGTGCAGGCGTTTGATCGTACAAACAAAACGAGACTTTATAGTTGAATGGAAACTTGAGAATTGGATCGTTCACACCTCGCATGAGCACAAAAAAGAGTGACATGTGCGTACGGCGAGCATTTCCATCACCATTTAAATAAAGACGAGCTCTCATCTTATAACCATTTGGAGATGAATAAAATGGAGGCGAATAAATTGATGTTTGTCTTTCAAATTTGGCATCAACTAAAAATAAAACAAAAAAGGCACGTGTGAAGAAGAGTAGGAAGCTCGTCTAAAGGAATTCAAGGGATCAACAACGTTGATGAATTATTTTGTCTAATCATCAATAGATTACTCATATATTGTATTGGTGCATGATTATATATTATGATGAATGTAATATTGAATCATTAATATATTCTTTGTCGATATTATAGAAATCGAATAACATGTTATTTTTTGATTATCTTTTCGATAAGATTTTTTGTCCTTATTATTGAACGTAAAAGTAATTCTTTATCTTACTCATTTTTTCTTGAAAGTTTGTTATTTTCCAAACAAGTATTCCATCATATGAAACAAACTGCAAATCATTGATTTTTTCTTGCAATGATGATAAATCTTGATTGAGAATATTTTGATTATGTTTGAATCCTTCCAAAAAAGCGTTTGACTCTTCAATGGAAAATTTTACTTTCGATAATTCTTCTGCCAATACTGGAAGTGTCATTTGCGTTTGAAGTGATTCATTCGTTAGACCTTGTTGATCATTGGTCAATGTCTCGATGCCATCTACCAAGATATTGAGCATTTCATAAAGCTCTTCTAATTGAACCGTAATAGAATTACCAGCTCCTGCAGTTGTTGTTCGAGGAAGATCAATATCTATTTGTCTATCGTTTAATTGCGCTAACAATTGGCGGACAACTGTGAGTATGGCATGTTGATGTTGTCGAGTCAAATAATGATCTTCTATTTTAGCACGGATAATCTAAAGAACAGGAATTTTTCGATGTCACTTTTAACTGGAGAATATTTCTACTGGCTCTTTACAGCCAAAGTCTTTCAATATACAGTCAACAATCAGTTTTTGACATTCAAAGACTTTATGTTCATTGAATTTATTAACTGAATTGAACTGTTTGCCACAATATTCACATTTGAGATTTGAATGAGATTGATCGAGATGTTCCTTTAAAAGAAAAAGGAAAGAAGATTCAAGAATAAAATAAATATAAAACAAACTACTAGATAGTTATTCAAGACACCAGACCACTGGCAAAAAGAACAATCAATGAGTAGTGGTTTCATATCATTTTTGAAGGCTCGATCAAGCAACACCTACACAAAAGAAATAATATTTTCTCTTTGATTAGAACAACACATTTTACGTCGCTTCGTAGTATTTCTGCTTGACATTGTGGACATTTAATTGTCATTCTTGAGGAAGAGCAGTGAAAAATAATAGTTCAAATTGATAATGAAACATACTTTTGTTCTGTATTTAAACATGTTTCACAAAATCGATGACCACAATCGGGTAATTGTATAGGATTTTGTAGTATCAATGAACATGTAGGACAAATATATTTCGTATCAAGAATACTTTTATTTCTTGCATCGATGCCAACCATTATTTGAATTTTTTTGTTGGTTAAGGTATAAATGGAAGAAAACTTTCAGAAATGTCAAAATCAATAAAATAGGTTACTTACTTAATAATTGAACAAATAAGAATAATTTTTTCAAATCAAGTGACGCAGGAAATGATTTATCTAGAAACCATTAAATATTTAAACACTTTTGATTGATCAAAAGTTCTGATCATGGTGTTTAACATTTTTATGAATTAGTTAATATCGAGAGTTTTATTGCATGAATACATAGTAGTATACCTCGTCTATAATAATGTGTATAACTCTTCTATCTTGGGTTTATTTCTAACATAGCTATGGATATGGATGCATGTGAGTAGTAGCTGTTTTCTTAACCCACATCTACATCCTCATCCAAAATGGATTCAACTATACAAACTCATTGAAACTACGACAGATTTATAATTTGACTTATTTCATGTAAACATTGTTAATATTTGTCATTTCTTAAATATATTTTCCAAAGAATAATTGATAGTTTTGTTTACGCCGAAATCGACTCATTTTGCTGCATTTCTTGGATTTTTTAGAAGAAACCTCAAGTGTATTATATTGTCTATAGATAAAAAGAAATCATATACGTACTTTTGTATCAGGTTATTATCAAAACTACTCACGTCAATTCCCACTAGCAATGAAACTGTTTGCCATGTCAGTTGATTTGATTAGCTATATTGGGGTCAAATTATCACTCTCAACGAGAAACTACCGAATTAAAAATATGAGCTGCCAATGGCGAGCGTGAATGGAGATATTCAAATTTTAAGGTATTTAAAATTTAGATATATAAGAACAACAGAATTTTTCGAATTCAGTTTTTTCCCAGTGTTAACTATTTTTTTAAGCAGTTTTGCGCAAGTTTCGATGTTTTCTGAAGGTTCAGTAATATATGAATGAGAAAAAGAAGCTTCTGTTCATTATAGAAAAGCGTTTTTAATTCTTCTGTTCTTATTTAAATCGAAAATAATAAGTTGAACGTATCTTTATTATGCTATACTAGGAATGAATATCGATTTTTCAATCAGATGATAATGACAAAAGTGTTTCTTGCACCAAGCGCAAATCAGAAGCGTTCGATTTTCACAATTATTCATTGAACAATAGAGATCGCAGAATTTGAAACAAATATTCTTTGATTTTTCACGTAGGATATCTTGGGCCTGGATTCGCTCACAGTTGGGACCAAAGACTAAACTTTGCGGACCAAGATAGAGCTCAACGAGTTCTATCCAATGCACTATTTACTTTTTCTCCAATACTTTTCTAAGCGGGAGAAAAACCTAAAATACTGTAACAAAATCAGCAAAAAATCCGATTTTTTTCGTACAGTGCACCGCGATTCGCACTGAGGTGGGAGCAAAGCTTGACAATCGTACAAACAGATAGAACTCGACGAGCTCTATCGAATGGATACCTTTCAAGGTATTCTAGGTACTTTCCTCCCCCATGAAATCCCACTATAGCCAGAAAACCTGGTTTTTCAACGAAAACCCAAGCGGGATTCGCCCCCAGCTGAGACCAAAGCTGAAAATGGCATATATCGATAGAACTCGACGAGCTCTATCGAATTGACACCTTGCAAGGTATTCTAGGTACTTCCCTTCACCCTAAAATCACACTATAGCCGGAAAACCTACTTTTCTTTCAAATATTGAATTAATATGATATGGAGTATCTGTTTTTCAATCTTAATCTAAAATAAAATTTCCTATATTATATACAACTTTCTTCTCTTTTATCGAGAAACAGAAAAAAAATTCAAATAATTTCAGTTTTTCAAGTTCTGGATGAAAATAAATAAAAACAAAACATTTCATATTCTTTGTGAAAATTATGATAAAATTTTATAAGGTATTCGCTTAAAAAATAATAAAACGAATAAGATTTGGAAATAATTAAGAAAACAATTTAGTAATGTCGAATACTTGATGAAGAAATTAGGAAAAATTTTTTATTTGGAAAAAAAAATTTGATGCATGATGTACGATACATACATATATGTTGCTCCATCTTTCGTTTCTTCCATGCTATTGATCGCAAGAAAGAAACCAATGAAATATTTTTGCTTTTCCGTCGATAAATATATCGATGACAAATAGGAGCAGAGATTCGAACAGCAGGTGTACCAAGCCAAATCAAAATACACGCTGTTTTACACGTTATTGGCAAAAGCAACGTGTACACGTACACTTTGCTAACAAAAATAACGCGTTCCTTTTTTTAATGAACAAATCGATTTCTGCAAGGGGGAAACGGCGGATTCGGATTCTTTGGATTTTTCGGATTATTATGGGATTATTGGGATTATTGGGATTATTATGGGATTATTGGGATTATTGGGATTATTATGGGATTATTGGGATTATTGGGATTATTATGGAATTATTGAGATTATTNTTGCTGTTGTTTATTTGAAAAGATGTTTAATAATTAAAGAAGCCAGTCTATCTTCAAAAGATCTCTCCATTACTACCATACTTGAGTGTTTGTCACAAGTTCAAAGCTGGAGAGGCGAACATGAACTCTCTCTTATGTATGAACAGAATTGTTTCTTAATGCGCCTCAAACTTCTACCACCGAATCATGAAAATATTGGCCATAGTTTATCAAATATTGGTGGAATTTATGAAAGGCTTCATAAATCTACGTTGGCACTTGATTGCTACAAGCAAGCATTAGCAATCTACAGGAAATGTCTGCCTTTCGAAGATAGTGCACTATCGAAAATGGAATCGAATATTGAGCGAATTTCAGAAGAACTTGGAATATAGCTCTATTAATCATATTGACTTTTCAAATATACTTCTGTTCGATTAAGCATCATTATTATTAGAGTAAAATGTTAATAAAAAAATTATAGTAAAAATGTGTCGGACTATTGCATGTATCTATTTTCTAACGAAAAATAAAGTGATTTAGTATTCATCATTTCTTCACCATTAGTCTATTAGAAATAAAATTAAGGAGATTTTTAGTTAGATCAGAAACAAGTGCTTCACATGATACTTTTTCTAATAAAACTTATAGTAGTCATCATAATTCACCCAATTATCGCATATTATTGTTTCAAGACTCTACACATTATATTCCAAGTACATTTGAAGAAATTTTTGAATGTATGTCAAATAAGTATTTGATAGCAATATTAAGCAATTTTTACGGTTGATCAGCGATTAATTCACACAAATTATGTGAATTTAAATTAGGAAAAATGAATAATAGTACAATCGATGGATTTTTTTTTGTTGATGATGGCATCTTCTCGTTCACTTTCGATGAATCATATTTATCAAAAGTGTTCCTTGATGTATATTGCATATATCGAATAGTATAAGTCTCGATAATGGTCGAATTGTTTCGATATTTCATGAATAGACCAACAAAATATATTTGATTTATATTAACAAGAATAGTTCATCGATTACTGCAACGATTCGAATCCGTAATAAACATTACTGTACAGATGCTCTATACAGAGGTTTGTCAATGATCATCATAAAAATAAATTATTTTTGCTTAGAATTATTTTCATTCAAATGGTATCAATTCTATAATGAATAATACAAATTTATTATGTTTTATTGATAATTCCTATTTGTATTTATGCGATAGAAATCATAATGAAGAGTTAGTTTGATGTATGATTCATCGCTAACAGACTATTCCCATTGTGCAACTGTTCAATGCTATTAAAACGATATATGGATTGAAGAATATGTCATCCATATTTGCGTTAATTCAATGTACGAGAACTAACTTTTATTTTCTATTCACTCATAGTTCAAGATAGAAAAAAAAAGCAATAAAAATAATTTATTGGATATTTGTAAATTATGATTTTCTTTACTGATTGACTAACGAATTAGGACGTTGTTATTTTCACATTTAAAGGATCAATTTTTCTTCAATTCAGTGTTAACAATTTTCTTCTTGTCGCTTCATTATTTAGTCAATTTTCTTTTCTATCACATTTTATGAAAATGGTCGATATAATATTGTCAAAGAATGTTTTTATGTCAAATCGTCTCATTTATATTTTCTACAATGCCATGAAACACCTATTGGTTAATAAATTAGATTATTTTCTAAGCAAATCTGTTTCATAGTTTCTTTCTGTTGAGTAATTCTTTATAAAAGAAACAATTGTCAATTATTATAAAAATGATTTTCTACAAATTAACAATCGATCTTACTCGACAAGTCTGTTACTTTATCAATGTCTTTCAACACTTTGTCATTTACAACTATATCAATATTTTATTTCCATCATTTGAATAGATCTGTTTTCTATTCAAATTATCTCGATTACACTGTTAATTATGTTACATAGTTGTTTGTAGTCGTTCACATGCAACAAATATTGAAATTAGTTTTATACAAACACTTCAAATATCATTTAATAATCATAAACAATGGTATTTGTTACCATGTATGAATTGAAATTGTAAATTCAAATTTTTTACTTGACATATTTTGTCCAAATAAACATAATCCAGAATATACATTTCTATTTAAGCAATGAATATTATGAAGAACAATATTTATATTAGAGAAATAGTTGAATATATTCTATATTTGGTTTTTCTCGTTTTCAGAGCCTATCAAATTGTGTGAAATAGATTGTCATATTGTTTTAGATAAAGGATTAAAAAAAATTATTTTTATACACTTCATAGGAGTCTAACGATTAAAAGCATAAAGTAAGATTCGATGCATGGCAACGGTATTCATTGTTCATGAAAAAAGTTATTTTATCCAGTTAGAAAAAGGTACGACAATATCGCTTGAAAAAATAGAAAACTTAAGAGACTCCCATTGAATTCAAATACGACATGAAAATTTCCACCATAAATATCTTTCAAATTCATCACTTTAACTACCTATCGTGTCTTTTATTATTGCATGACAATAAGCACATAACAAGAATAAACATGATTTATTTGGTTGATCATTTCTTTTTTTTTACTGTAAACTACGAATTCCTCTTTGTTAGAAGAAAAGTCAAGTAAAGGAAAAAAAGCGAATTCATTAGAAAATGCTTTTTCATCTAGCGGACAGTTGTTAACGATCATATGTGATGAGATTTAGCATATGATTTCCTGCCAAGATGTGTGAATAGAAAACTCACACCCATGATTGTGCTTACATCTCACACTGCCTCGCCCACTCACATTCTTGTAATTCTCAATTTTTCTCATAGAAACAAAACTTTTATGCAATGAGATTATCATATTCGAAATCCCCGTCAAAAAGTTAAGTATGTCTCTGATCATTACAAGGAAAAATTTGAAAAAAAAAGAACTGAAATCATTAAAAATAATAACAGTATATATATATATCAATCGATTCGTTTTTTGACGCTAATCTTACCTATGAGAATTTCATTACATATTAAAAGTTTATTTTTTCTGAGAAAAAAATTGAAAATCATGAGCAGAATTCTATCAATGTGGTCAATAATTGATGAAAAACTAATTTTCTCTCGAATTAAACAATTTCGAAAAGAAAAATAATAATACGTAAGTCTGTGATAGATGGTTTGATGAATTGAATGAGATAAAATATTTTATATCGTTGCTTGATCAAAAACACTACATAGTATTTAACTAAGACGATTTCAAAATTGTGACAAAACGTTATCAACAAGTTCTTAGAGTCATTAAGCAAAGAATCTTATGCAAAAATGTTTATCGATGAATTCGAGACAGATAACAAGAAGCAGCGTTGCAAATATTTCATGAAATATTAAAGTTTGACTATCTTAAATATCGTTATATTTTTGTTGATCGAGTCAAGTAACAAGAAAAACTCCTCAAGAACTTATTCTTTAAATATCATATCATTGAATATAGGGTTTTTTCTTGATAATTTTAAATATATTATTTAAGCTTGGTTAAATTCACATACTATATAAATATTTAAAAAGAACAGAATACTTGAGTGAAGATTGAAATAGAGTTTTTGGACAAAATGTTTTTTGTTATTTTTTGATCGGTAAAGTGGAACTCATAAGTTTACAGCTATTGATCAATGTTTGGAAAGCCTGAAAATCAAATTTAGACGAAAACAGTTATGCGAACAGACTCAAAGAAGGAATATGTGATAGAATTTCTTTTCGCTTGGCTGCATCACATTTTCAAATTTTTCGAACCAAGTTGTAGACAATATATACGATCATAACTCCTAAATTATGAGTCCCACAAAAATTAAGAGCACTGGATCAGAAAGAGATATAAAACTTTTAGTGCATCTCTTATTCGTTCGAAGAATGAAGAAACATATTGTTCAGAAACCCAATCTTCATAAAAACCGATTCAATATGATCAATTATTCTTTTTTTATTAAGTAGTTTCTTCGCAGCTCAATTGTATTTCTTTCATTTCATTTGAATGTTGCTGTTGTTCTTCAAATCTTCTGTTCAGTTCTTGCTTGACCACTGTTTGTTGAACATGCGTTGGTAAACCCGGATTGAGACTCACTGCATAGGGCAATAATATTACCGGTATATCATTAAAGTCAACCATAATTTTGATACACATTGTATCGTTTTGTACATAAGGATTTCCCTCCTGTTGAATCATTTTCAATGGGATAAAATTCGGTATACCACTACCTATATTCATATTTGACCGAGGTCGTTGAAAACTATTCGATTTAATGCCTGGTCGAAATGAATCGATAATATGTCGTCGTGCAGGCGTTTGATCATACAAACAAAATGTGACTTTATAGTTGAATGGAAATTTGAGAATCGCATCGTATTCACTTTGCATGAGTATAAAAAAGAGTGACATGTGTGTACGACGAGCATTTCCATCACCATTTAAATAAAGAAGAGCTCTCATTTTATAACCATTTGGAGATGAATAAAACGGAGGAGAATAAATACTGATTTGTCGTTCAGACTGTGCATCGACTAGAAATACAACAAAAAATAAATATGTGAAGTAGACCAGAAGTAAGTATAAAGAACTTTAAAGGATCGACAGCATAGATGATTCATTTCGTTAATTCATTAATAGATAACTCATAGATTGTATTCGAAAGTAATAATACATTATGTCGAATGTAACGTTGAATCATTAAAGTATTATTTGTCAATATTATAGAAATCGTATAATATGTTACTATTTGATTATGTTTTTGATAAGACTTTTTATTTATTTTTTTCAGTTAGCATAAGAGTTATTGTTCAGCTTACTCATTCTCTCTTGAAAATTTGTAATTTTCCAAACGAATGTGCCATCATATGAAACATACTGAAAATCATTAATATTTTCTTGCAATGCTAAATCTTGATTGACAATGTTTCGATTACATTTTACTGCTTCCAAAAAAGCATTTGATTCTTCAATGGATAATTTAACTTTCGATATTTCTTTTGTTAGTATTGGAAGTCTTATTTGAATTTGAAGTAATATATTACGTAGACGTTGTTCATCATTAATCAATGTTTCAATGTTATCTACTACGATCTTGAGACTTTCATTAACTTCTGATGATTGAGTTGTATCAGGATTACAAGCTCCTGCATTTGTAACTCTAAGAGAATCAACATCTATTTGTCTATCGTTTAATTGAGATGACTCTTGATAAACAGAATGTTGATGTGGTTCCGTCAAATACTGATCTCCTATTTCAGCACTGATAATCTAAAAAACATACATATTTTCTGATGTCGATTTCATTTAGAGAATATTCATACTCGTCCATTACAATCAAAGTCCTTCAATATATAGTCAACAAACAGTTTTTGCCATTCCAATACATTATGTTCATTGAATTTGTTGGCTGAGTCGAACTGTTTGCCACAATAACCACATTTGAGATCTGAATGAGATTGATCAAGATGTTCCTTTGGAAGAAAAAGGAAAGAAAATTCAAAAATAAAATAAATATAAAATAAATTACTTGATAGTTATTCAAGAGACCAGTCCATTGACAAAAAGAACAATCAATAGATAATAATTTCATATCATTTTTGAAACCTCGATCAAGAATTATCTACACAAAATAAATATTTTCTCTTTTATTATTAAAAGATATTCTACCTTGTTTCGTAAAGTTTCTGTTTGACATTGTTGACATATAATTGTTGTTCTTAAAAAAAAATCAAGAATAATATTTCAAATCAATAATAATAAAATTTACTGTTGTTCAATATTAAAACATGTTTGACACTGACGATGACCACATTCAGTCAATTGTACAGGATCTCGTAATATCAATGAACACACCGGACAAATATATTTCGTATCAAGAATATGTTTATTTCTTGCATCGATGCCTACCATTATTTTAATTTCTTTCCGTTGGTTAATGTATCAATAGAAGAGAATTTTCATAAATGTTAAAAACAACTAATAAACAGGTTACTTTTCAAACAAATGAACCAGTAAAGATAACTTTTTTGATATAAAGAAATGTAATAAATAATTTATCTAGAAATCATAGATTAGTATTGGCATATGATAAGAATTTCAAATATTCAAAAAATAAAAAAAAAGGTTGTGGAGTTCGAAATAGATTCATGTCTTATTATTTGATCAAGCCTTGAATTCATTGTCGATGGGCTTATGAAAAGTTCGATTGTAAATAGATCTTTATCGATAAAAATCAATCGAACGTTAATAGACATAGCAAAGCTTTTCTTCAAATTTAATAGAATAGTATAAAAAGAAACTTGAAATTTGATCATTTGTTTTTGTCAA